ACGGACACCAACATCACCAGTTGCGAAGCGAACCATCTCTTCGTAACATACCCCCTCAGGGTGGCACAGTGCAACGGACAGTGGGTGGTGCTGGCTGGGATCTCGAGGGGCGCCCTCGAAGAGACGGAGTGACCTAGCAGCGCTCTCGCGGGCCTTCTGCGGATCCCAATGGGCTATCCCGACTAAGCACCAGGGAAGTTCCAGCCAGTGCGAGAACTTCAACTGGAACCACATTGTGAAATGCGACTTCCCGCGGGCAAAATCGTTGACGATTTCCCCGCGCTCCTGGTGCGAAAGCTGGGACATAGAAGGGCACATCAGAATGTGCGAAGATGCTTTACCCATGAGATCTCGCAGCAAGATGAATAGGTGGCCAGTTGCACAAGCAGGCGCCTGGCAGCCCTGCATCGGGCATTTGATGTGATCAACATGCCTGCCCCGACGCTCTTCTGCACTTCGGATCGGCCGATCTCGGGCATGGCAGGGGCAGGACTCTGACCAGTACATAACATGTGCAACAACTTGCCCGAGCGCATCTATCATGACGGCATACGCCCACCACCAATGATTCCGAATGGCCTGGTCTGCAACGTCGATCCTCAGATTCTTCTCGCCAGGCTCACGAGTCGCATTCCCAAATTTCGTCAATGACCACCCCATCCGCAATATTCGCTGCAATGGAAGGAGGGTTGAGAGCGCCACCAAAATAGAACCCCACCGCCCTTCGTACACTTCTACACTGAAATCTTCTAACTGCCTTCTGTGTTGGTCAAAACACGGATTCGAAAAACAACTCTCCAGGAGGCGATCTTTTGACCAACGTCTGGATACCAACCTACATATATGCTTTAGCCCATCAAACCAGCGAGAGAAATGATCCAACGCATCCCCCAATTTCTCCGTCATCCCGTGGCAGACGTGAAGGATGCCAGGCACGAACAACGATTGCCGAAAGTCAAGCACCCATGGATCATCTGGAAACCTCCAGTCATCACCGCCATCCCAAGGAATAGGAGTCCGAGTCCCGTCGCCGCCTGAGCCACCCGGGCTCGGGATATCTCCGCTGGGCCCCCCTGCCTCACGGAAGTCGAACTCCAGAGCATCTTCGGCTTCGGCATCGGCCGCCCCTGGTGGAGGAGGAAGGAAGAGAATACAGTCGGAGGAGGAAGAGGGGGAGGAGGAGGGAGGAGGGGCCAAATCAATACGTCCAAAGAGTTCTTCCTTCATTTTACCGAGGAAGAGGGGGGGGGATCAGGCAAGGGCGGCCTCGGGCCTTACGGGAATGAAAATGGCGAAGGCGAGTCGGATTCGGAGAATGAGGAGGGCGGAGTCGGGGGGAGACGGAGGAGGGCCGCTGGAAACCTGGAGGCACCGAGGTTGGGCCAGAACTCGACGGCACGGCAAGATCACCAGATACGTTGAAGCTAAACGAGTGTTGTTCTTCGTCATCGACCCCGGGCTCGGACTCGCGGAAGAAACCCCTCAAATTTGCATAAGAAGCGTCTTGTCGTTTAACCCACTCGCCATGCACCGCAGTCATGGGAGCTACGAAGCGCCACATGCCGCTCTCTGTTCCGAGATCGCCTGTCCAACTGCAAGTCGAGTTGAGGAGACGGCCGCACTGCGCCCACCCCGAAGAAAGCATGCGCGTGCAATGAGAGAGGACCTGCACCTTGCGAAGCAAGGATGCCTTAGCGCTGCCGACGGCGCCAGCAACGCCAGGCTGCCAGGGCAGCGCCTCCGACAGCATGTCATTGGCCGCCTCCCTACCCCGATCAACTGAATAGAAAAATGGAGGAGCAGCGAAGGGGCAAAGGGGGAAGGGGAGCGAAGGGGCAGGCAGGGGCGGAAGGGGGGGAGCGAAGGGGCAAAGACAATGGCACGTGATGCATGGCGCAAACGTTGTTGGTGCGCATGCTGTTCCGAACGTTCCTCCAGAGCTACTCCCACGAACGCTCTGCTTCTGGCGTTCATCCCACAAAACGTCTCCCTCCTCACCCTCCTCCTCCTTTATCCTCCGACGAAGCCCCCCCTTCTGCGTGCAAGGCTCAAGGGTCTTCTTCGCCCTCCAGCGGCGTTCAACCTCGAAGCCCTTGGGTGAGTCCTTCAGGGGTTTTGATGCCCCGATGCCTTCCGAACGTCTCCTGGGTTGGTTTCCAAGGTTGCGCGCCGATGAAGTTGCGAGGGTGGCCCAATTCCAAAGCAGAGCGCCCCGAAGTCCGAAGCCCCTCCTTGACAAGCTCATCTGGAGCTGTTGGATCGCACAATATATCTGCTGCAGCGAGGGCTTCCGCCAACTTGTCATTGTGAATAATCCGAAAGCCATTTAGAAGCCAATCGTACCCGTGCTGGGGGCTGGAATCCACGGTACGCCATATAGATACCCCCCCAGGCTGATCAAGGAAAGCGTCGTGGACATCACGCATGTGCAGACACCAAGACAAGTGAAGGGAAAGCCGATGCACAATAAGAGTGTTGCCACGCGGGATTCGTCGCTGATTGAATTGATCAGCAACCCACTTCTCCATGGAAGGGTCGTCAGTGATCATTCTGCCGATTATCTTCGCACAAGGGAGAAGTAGCCTCGACTGTTTCAGCATCCCAGAGGCGACGACCGCAGAAACTAACACCGAGAAAGAGTAAGCTCGTTCTGAGAGTGACAGCCGATCAAGAAGATAATGCTGGCGCCTCTTCTCTAGCCATGCAAGCTGCTCCTTTACAGGGGTAGGCGGTACAGCACCATTTGCGAGAGCTCGCACGGTGTCTGCTAACTCCTGCAACGTCTCATGCAAAGGTGCATCCACAGAGCGGGCCCCTGCAGGGATGGAAAGGTTCTGGGCCAACCTTTGCGCCTGATCTGCGCTGCCCACGAGTTTCTCGACGAGGTGCAGACCCTGCCTGCTCCACATGTTCTTCTTGACTAGTGGCACCCCCCAGCGGGCGAAGCCGCCCCAGCACAGCAGACATGCGAAAGAGACTGGGATATGAGCAGTGAGTCTCAAGCCCCCTGGCCCCAGGACTTGCGCGCCATACTTGGACTCCCACGCGCTCAATGCGTCGACGACCTGGACCACGGACCCCCTGTGCACGCATGAACCCTGACGAATACTTCCGACTTGGGACTGCAATATCTCCTTGAACTGGGCCCGCAACTGCGATTCCATAAGACCGAAAGCTACGCTCACAGGCTCAGATAACAGCAAGACGTCGACAACTCTGATCAGGTCGCCCCGGGGGGGGGCTGGAACGGCATCTGAACACCTCTACCGCTGCCTCAACCTTGTTCGGCCTCCCTTGAGCCCTGCGCGGGCCCCTTCAGAGAACAAAGTACCCCCAAGCCCCCAACGAACAGTAACGCACCCTCTTCTCGGGCCCCTCTCGGGGCCCTCTGGGGCCCCTTGCCTCGCGGGGCCTCCTTGAGAAGAATATGCCCGCAAACGAAGGGTTGCTCACCCTGTCCATCGACCTAGCTTACCTTCGGCCCTCTCCGCCGAACTTTCTACTCTCGCACTGCGTGCAGATTTAAAGATGGGCTCGGCTTTTGGCGGCAAGCCGTCGAATGTATGCGAGGGGGCGATCAGCGAACTTCGTGACTAACCAGAAATCCTTCACTGCCCTGTGCTCTGGACTGACAACCTGCATGACGTCATCCATCATATCGAGTCTCCACACGACTGCCCCAAGAATGCGCCCTGGAAGATGTGGCCCGAACTTGCACTTCCATGCATTCGCCGAAGCATCTGGCGAAAGAGAGCCTGCGTGCTCGAACCCCCCTCGCCTGCCCAGTTCATGCAGAGCCTCCCGTACCTCCAAAGGAAAACAAACCTCGGCTGGCAGCCGACGCCGCCCAAAGCCGAGCCGCGTGTCTGGCGTCTGGGCGCACACCCACGAGGCCACGAACATGGCCCGCGCCGGGCGCAAGGCCGGGGCCCGGAGAGACCCTTGCGCCGCAAGGTCGACGAGAAGGGGGGAGGGTGGGAGGCCGACGAAGGAATCTGCGAAGTTCGAAGGTCGAGGGGCTCGGCCAGAACTGCGACCAAGGGCCCGGGGGGCCGCGGGTCGACTCGGGACTGCGCTCAGGAGGGACTCGAACGCTCGCTCTACACAATTACCACCTAACTACATATTAACGGCAAGGGGCTTCAAGAACCTTTGCGGGACTACAGGGCAACGACAATTCGAAACATAATGGCAAGTTTTGCGACGCGAATCTTCAACGTCAGACGTGGGATGCACTTGGCATTGGGAGACTCGCAGTATAATATTGTCATAACACCCATCAGAACGAATCGTGCACTGTACTCAGTCTGCTCTTACTCTCTCATCCTCATTCTTCCCACTGACCCACCTCCTTGCTGCGAGACCTCATCGCCTCTCATCCTCTCTCATCATCTCTCCCACCCACCCTCTCCTTCCACCTGCCTCCTTGCTCGGCTTCTCCTTCCTCCTCCCCCTCCCTCCTCCCTCCCTCCCTCCCTCCCCTCCTCCTCCCCCTCCTGCTCCTCCTCCTGCTCCTCCTCCTCCTCCTCCTCCTCATCCTCCGCCTCCACCTCCTCATCCTCGTCCTCCTCGCCTCCTGCTCCTGCTCCTGCTCCGGCTCCTCCTCCTGCTCCTCATGCTCCTCCTCTCCTCCTCCTCTCCTCCTCCTCCTCCTCCTCCTCTCTCCTCATCCTCCTCCTCCTCCTCCTCCTCCTCCTCCTCCTCCTCTCCTCCTCCTCTCTCCTCCTCCTCCTCCTAATCCCCCGTTCTCTCCTCCTTCTCATCCTCCCTCCTCCTCCTCCCTCCTCCTCCTCCTCCTCCTCCTCATCCTCATCATCATCATCATCATCATCAGCAGCATCAGCAGCAGCATCGTCATCAGCATCAGCATCATCATCGTCATCGTCATCATCATCAGCAGCAGCATCAGCATGAGTATCATCAGCAGCAGCAACAGCATAATCGTCCTCCTCCTCCTCCGCCTCCGCCTCCTCCGCCTCCGTATGACGCTCTTCCTCCTCCTCATCATCATCAGCTTCATCAGCATCAACAGTATCATCATCAGCATCAGCATCATCAACAGCATTAGCATCATCATCATCACCACCACCATCAGCATCATCAACAGCATCATCAGCATCATCAGTATCATCACCATCAGCACCATCATCATCATCATCATCACCATCATCATCATCATCATCATCATAATCGTCGGCTCATCCTCATCGTCACCATCATAATCACCATCAGCATCAGCATCATCAGCATCAGCAGCATCATCACCATCAGCATCATCATCGCCATGGCCATCAGCATCGTCATCATCATCAGCATCATCGGCATCATCAGCAGCATCAGCATCAGCAGCATCATCATCGTCGTCAGCATCAGTACCATCAGCATCATCATCAGCAGCATCATCAGAAACATCAGCATCAGCATCAGCAGCATCATCAGCGGCATCAGCATCAGCAGCATCATGATCATCACCATCATCATCAGCAGCAGCATCACCATCATCCGCGGCATCATCAGCAGCATCATAATCAGCATCGACAGCATTACCACCAGCATCAGCATCACCATTATAATTATCAGAATATCAAGGATCATCAGTATCATCATCATCATCATCATCATCATGCGCATCATCAGCATCACCAACATCAGCATCAGCATCATCATCATTGTTAACATCATCATCAGCATCACCGTCAGCACCATCATCATCATCATCATCATCATCATCATCATCATCATCAGCAGCATCATTATCAGCAGCAGCATCAGCATCATCAACCTCCTCATCATCACCACTTGCGCACCCGCTATAGACCGACATCAGACAAGCTCGTGTACATCCTGGCGCTGCTTGGGTTGGTGAAGTCGCGTCCAAGGCCAAGCCTGAAGTGCGTTAATCACCAACCCAAGGCCCATGATGTAACTTGCTAGTTGGTGTTGGAGTATAACTGGCATCCCCCGAGCCTGCAGGATGAGGAGCAGCTCCAGGACTAGGACGAGGTGGAGGAGGAGGCACCCCAGCACCAGGCACCAGCACCAGCATTAGCAGAAGCAGCAGCACCAGCACCAGCACCAGCACCAGCACCAGCACCAACACCAGCACCAGCACCCAGTAGGCCCAGCTCTCCCCCTGCTCCTCCCCTGCTCCCAAGAGCCCCCCCCCTGCTCCCCCCAAGAGCCCAAGAGCCCCCTCCCCTGCTCCCCCCCCCTGCTCTAGCTGCAGGCGGCAGTGGCCATTGGCCGCGGCGCGGCTGGCGACGCGCGTCGCGGGGCCGCGCCGCGCCGCCGTTTGAAGAAACGGCGGTCGGGGCCCGGCGTCGCGGCGGCGCGGCGCCCCTCCTCTTCCCCTCCTTTTCCGCTCCTCCCCCTCCTCCTCTTCTCCTCCTCCCCTCTGCTCGTTCTTCTCATCCGAGCCTCCTCCTTGGTGTTTTTCCTCTTCCCAGCTTGGTTCTGCTCGTTCTTCTCCTCCTCTTCCATGTGTCTCCCTGACGTTTTCAGTTTTTGTTGTTTCTGCGTGTAGCAATGAATCACTTGTCCACAGCGGTTTTTAGTACTCTTTCCCCTTCTATCCCTCGTCTGGAAGTCTCCAGAACCCTGTGAACCCTCCAGAAACCTAGGATACCTTCGGAAAGCCACACAAAACCGCCGAAACGCTCCAGAGACATCTACGCTAATGAATACAATCCTCTTCCCGCCTCCTCTCCCCTCCTCTACCCCCATCCCTTTCCGCCCTCCTTCCCTCCCAATCTCCCCCCGTTGTAGGCTTCCGTCGGAACCGTGACGCCGGCAGCAAGCATAACGCTCTGCCAGGTGTACTGCGCGCTAACGAAGCCAACCAGCACGCCCTTGGCGCCATGAGACAAGGAGGAACGGCCTGCTCGTCGTCATCGTCCTCCCCTTCCTCCTCCTCCCATTCTCCTCCCCCTCCTCTCCCCCCAATGTTCATGCTCCTGCTTCTCCGATCCACGCTCCTATAACTGCTCCTCCCCCTCCTCCTCCTCCTCCTCCTCCTCCTCCTCCTCCTCCTCCTCATCATCATCATCATCATCATCATCATCATCAGAAGTTTCATGACTTCGTCCCTCCCTCCCTCCCTTGCCTCCTATTCCCACTCTGACTCCTGTGTTTTATGATTTCTGGAGGTTTGAGGAAGGTGTTCAGAGGTTTGCACCAAGGTCCCCGAAGTTGTTGTGCGGTTCGGGGAGGTTTTCCGAGTGTTTGCTGGAAGTGTTCGACGGTTGTCTGAGACCCTCGCCCTCGTTTTCCCCGTTTTCCTAGCCGGTACCCCTTCCACCGCCTCCTCCTCCAGATGCTCCTCGTCCTCCTTGGCAGGTACGGACGAGGTAGGTGGGTGAGGGTGGAGTGGATTTTGGGTTACAAGCAGGCGTTGCAACAGCGTGCCTATGGATCAAACTTGGGCCAGGACAGTTCACTCCCGCGAGTCACCGAATAAAGAAAAAAGGACCTCACCCCGCCAGGACCCCCAAGAAACGACCTGGCGCTAGGCTAAAAACGGCATACATTACAAAGAAAAGGGGATAAGAGGTGGGAGAGGAAGGAGGGAGGAGGAGAGGTAAGAAAGGAGGGGAAATGGCTTCCCCCACGCGAGAATTCAACAACCAGGTACTGTCTCCATAGACGAGTCTTGCACACAGCCTCGACGTGACGAATCAGGGCTCCAGCAGCCCAAGCATCAAAGACTCAGAATGATACACTCTAGGATGACTGTAACCCCGTCACATTTCGGGTGAAGGCCTTTTAGCTACATGGGGGCAGGCCCGGTCAACGAATTTACCAACTGCTGAGCACTGTTTCTTTCCTAAGGTCGCGAATCATGCCTTGAGAGGTTCAGCTATTACATCGCATTCACAAGATCTGCGCAGCCTCATCACCGCATGGAATCATCAAACACTAGTGGCCACAACGAGGCAAGCCTTCAGACTTCCAGGGGGAGGCTTTTAACTATTCCTGGGTCGTCTTGTCTGGACGCATTCATCACAGCACCAGAACTAGCCCGCTTGAAACCATCGGTGGCCATCACAAGCACGGGCTTACGGGCCACCGCTCTGAGGGAAGTACAGGGTACCTTTGAAGGCACCTAGGGGAGTAGGCGGGGAGCAAATAGCAGCGAACTTGCAAGCCACCCTGGCAAACTTCACAAACGATCCGTATCTTCCAAAATCGGTTAGTCTCTCCGATGAGCGAGGAGGGCGTCTTTGGTCCCAAGATCCGCGATGTGCCCCCCAAGCCGAGGGACAACTTCCTCTTCAGACATCCCTTACCCTTTCATGGACAAATGCGCCCTGACCATCTGGTCACTAGATGACAGAAGGATGCAGAAGGAAGAACGAGAGAAAAGGGAGCCTCAGCGGGCGCCCAGAGTATATCACAAGGTGATGACAAGTTTTAGCCTAGCGTTTGTCGTGATTGATGAGTGTGCTCAACGTGCAGACTGTTAATTTCGACACGCACTTTCCGACTGCAAACATATATGGTAAGCACTGGCCAGCATTTTAGCATGCACTCGGCGCGCATGTCTCAAGCACGCAAACATTCGATAAGTAAGCGTTGAGCACGCACTTAGCTCTTCTTTGGCAATGATCAATTGATCACCGCACATTAGACGGCCACGACTAGGATATGCAGCGCAAGCGTTGAGCATCCTGTCGGGCAAAAAGACGGCACCACAGGTACAGTTTCACCGATACCTTATCATTGCCCTTGCTCCCCGTCCGCCATCTACTCTCCCTCCGTGTGTCCTCGAAAGTGGTGAAGCTGAAAAGCAGGATATAGTTCGTCGGGTAATTGCGCGCCAGGTCCTGACAGCAAGTCATAGCGCATATTGTGACGAGGGTCATGCTGACCGCCACCCACATTAGCCACATATTGTTCCTGCGGGCGAAGGGCCAGGGGAGCCACGGCAACAACGCGCAAAATATGACAAGCACCCTTGAGAGGAAGTCCTACACATAACTCACCTGTGAACGTGCCTGACGGGACAAGAAGCCACCAAGAGGCGTTGATAGCGTGCTCTGCAAGCCAGATGTGGCAGTAGTCAAAGCTAAGACGTGCAAGACTATCAAAGCGAACCCCAAACAATAATTGACACATTACGCATACGTATGATGCACATGCTAGAAATTTCAATGGCGTCCATGGCGCAACGGATGGCCGCAACCCATGACGCGAACCATGGACGCAACCAAGAGCACGGACAAATCAACGATTTACACGGCGAAAAGATTGGCTGCCACCCGTGGCTCAACCCGTGGGCGCAACCTGTGGCACCAAAGAGCCAGCGGCACCCGGTACCCCTCAAGGACGACTTAAGGGCCCCAAAGTGCAAGCAATGGTTGGAGAAGTATGGTTGAGAGCGCGAAGAAAAGTACGAATTTGGATCAGCAGCTTAAGCGAGCAGATGGGCCCAGCACGCTTCAGCAGCTCAAGCTAGCAGATGGGCCCCGCGCACTTCGAGCTTTCCCCTTTGCATTGGGGGCAAGGTCGATACAACCTAACAGCTTGCCATGTGTAAAGAGAATATGGTCACCCTGATGCGCGAAATTTTACGCGAAGCGATCATGACGTGGGACGCGATTGCTCGAGCAGGAAAAACGCCAACGCCGACCAAACAAAATCCTAAATCGACTGTGGCGCGTGAGTTGCGATTTGAAGACATAATGGCGTTCACCGTGCAAGGGAACTGCCGCTGGATGCGGACATGGGACCATGAACTTCCTGTCATCTTGCGAGCGTTCGTTTTTCGGAGTCGAACTTAGGCGGAGGCCTTGGGTGAGCAGGCCCTGCAAGAGAGGGCTGCTGCCAAGGCCAGTTAAGCTGCTGACGCTAACGCCGATCTAGATTGAGCGTCTTACGGGCGGTGAACCTCATTCGCTTCCTCGTTGCTCCCCTGACCTCGCACCTCCTCGCGATCCTGCTGATACTCCTCCTCCCCCTCACCTCGCACCTTCTCGTGTTCCTCGTCCTCGTCACCTTCCTAACCCTCCTTCTCCTCACCCGCCTCATCCTCATCCTCCTCTTCCTCCTCCTCCATCTCCTCCTCCTCCTCCTCCTCCTCCTCCTCCTCCTCCTCCTCCTCCTCCTCCTCCTGCTCGTCGGCCTCGGATTGACTGACTCTCTTTATGACCACCTATCTCACTAACCACGGGAAACCCACGGGACAACCGAACGTCACAACCGCACGGGGCAACCACGCAAAAATCAAGGGACAACCGCGGACGCAAGCGACAAGCACGGGGCAACTGCAGGACAACCATGGTCCGCCCTGTCGCGACGCGCCCCTGGATCTCTCCAACTAGCGCAACTTCGCCTCGCCCAACCGCGACACACAAATACGGAAGTAGACCGATCGTCGCCGTCGTCGTCGTCGTCGTCGTCGATGCTCTTCCGTTCGTCGTCGTCGTCGTCGTCGTCGTCGCCCTCCCCTCAGGCGCGCCAGCCAAAGCGAAACCAAAGCGAAATCGAGCAACGTCGTAGCTGAGTCGAAGGCAAAGCGAAATTGAGCAACGTCGTAGCTGAGTCGAAGGGAAGCCCCTTCCCTTTGATCCCTTCCCCGCCCGGGGGGGGGTGGGGGGGGGGTCCCGGGAGGGGTCCCGGGGGGGGGGGGGGGCAGATACGCATCCCCCCCGGGATGTCCCGGGACCTAGAAAAGCCCCCAGACTGGCCAAGAGTGCCCCAAGAGGCTTCCAAGACGGCTCCAGAGGGCCCCGAATCGCCGAACCATCGGTCGAAGACGCCAAAGTAGCCTCCAGACGGCCCAAGAGATTGCCAAGACGCTCCAAGAAGTCTCCAAGAGCACTCCCAAGAGGGCACGAAGAGGGAAAAATCAATGATTTCCTTCAAGTTTTTGACAGATTTTGGCGTTCTCGCCGTTTCAACTTGCCAACGCTCCAAGACGGCCCCAGATGCCCAAGATTACCCCAAGATAGCCCAAGAGGCTTCAAGAGAGCCCCAAAATGACCCAAGAGAGCCTCAAGACCGCCCAAGATGCCTCCAAGATGGCCCCAGAGGCTCCCCAAACGGCTCCAACAGGGTGCCCAGACGGGGGGCCCGACGAGCCCTCGGCGACAGAGGCTCCCAGGAAGCCCCAAGATGCCCCCAAGAGGCCACCACGAGACCCCCAAGAGGCCCCCAGGAAGCCCCAAGAGGCCCCCCCCGCCACATTAGAGAACGCATGGGTCGCCCTCCAGGGTCGGCGGCACCGGCCGTAAGGCCTTCGC